GGTTCGGTCACCACCATCGTGACCTACGTCCAGATTGAAACTGCCCATTCAACTTTCCACTAATTATCAAGCTTCAAGGGTGTTTGACAAACCACTACAACCTTCAAGAATAAAGATTCTTGAAACCTTTACACTTCCACTCACTTACTTAGGTTATGAGCAACCTCTTTCACTAGGGTCTCACTACCCTCAACACAAATGAACATAATGAGAGTATTTAGAAAATGATTTGTACTCTTGAAGTACAGATTATACAAGTTGAAGCTTATAGGTATTGATCAATGACACAAGAATAAAGCTCAAAGATGATTTATGATCAAGATGATGGAAAGTAAGCAAATGATGTGAAATAAAGCAAGAATTGTGATTTTGAAAGGTGTCCCATCAAGGGGAACAGTGATCACTATTTATGGAGAGCCTCCATGACTCTTTGCACACTCATTTTCGCAAAACTACCCGTTTATAGCTGTTATACTGCTTACTGTCCAGTAAGTATTCGAATACTATTCGTGAGGTATTCGAATATTTCAACTGGTATTCGAATACTTCAACTGGTATTCGAATACTTTTCTTAAGGTATTCGAATACTTTATTCTCAGCACAAGTATTCGAATACAGTCAAGAGAGTATTCGAATACTTTTTTGACAGAACATCAATTATGCAGTTTTATGAGTTGTAAAACATACCTTTTAGTCTCTAATCACTTTTAATGTATTTCCTTGACTTGTACAGAATGTTTTGAGGTTACGAAATATGTCAAGGGTCTTTTTCATAATAATTAAAGCTTTTTAAGTGATAGATGACATGGATAATGCATGCACAGAGTTAAATATCCTTTGAGCTCATTTATGCATCATTAATCAATTACCTTTACATTTAGATCTAAGCTCTCAAGAGCATGATTCAATCTTGATCTTGTGTGTTGAATGATTTGCTCTTGTTGTCTTGTTTGAATTGCTTCCTTGGACTTCTTATTGTTGCGAGTTGTATTATCTTTAACGTTGCTTCTATGCTTGTTTGTTATCATCAAAACTCTTGCATAAGTGAACTCTTCATTTTAAGCGCATTGGTTTCACATAAACATCATCGGAGCACTATTATATCCTACAAATTGCAATAGGTTAATATTATATTTGCAGTGAAAATTCTAGCTAGACATAGTGCTCCTTTACTTGAAAAATCTGCTAATCACATCATTTATTATGCGGGTTAATACGACATAACACGAATAACTTGTCAACCTCAAAGTGTATTACTAATTATACCCTAAGACACAAATAACATATCGACAAAATGTTATTTTCATTAATATCGTATTGACATGATACTACATACCAATAACAAGACAATTAATTTGGGTCAATATTATGTTTCCAAGTTGACATGCAACACGTGTTAAAAATTGTCACTCTTACCTTTCATGTTAAGAATTGACAAATCATTCGTGAGAATCCATTAATAAAAGAGGGTTAGGCGAGCATAGTAATAGAGAGCTCTCTGGACTATCAAATATATAATTGGAGATGTGATTTTTCAACGAGGTTTATTTCAGAGTGAATGAGCCATCGTGGTAAAAATTGTTAAAATAAGTTATATTATTCATAATAATTATTTATGTAAATTTAGTATCATATAATAATAGTATTTAAATTTTGTATTTGGGACAAATATTTTTTAAATTTAGGTAACATATAAAATATAAAAAATATATATCAAAAGAAAAAATATTTTATAATATTTGTACTTATAAAAAAATATAATTAATCCAAGAAAAATATAAAAAGCATAGATTAGAAAAGAATAAAACATTTAAAATCATAAATAACATATAAATAATTAGTTAATTAAAAAATTTTAAAAAGAGAAGTTGAGAATATTATATATTAATTTTTTAAATAAGAGTAAATTAATAAATTTAACCATTTTAAAGAAATAAATTATAATTTAAAATATAAGGATGAATAATTCAATCAAATATATAATTCTTAACATTCTTTTATTTTCGTAAGTATTTTAAATCTTTGGATAAAGTTGCTGTCTGTAATAAATATTATTTGATTTGTCTTTTTATGTTGATTTCAAAATTAGTCTTGAAATACTAAATACCTGCTGCAAATATCGACAGATATCCATCTCTCATTGATAATAAAATATTAAATATTATGGGCTTTTCCCCTTTTATTTACCAAAAAAAAAAATTAAATACTCGTGTAAGGAGTGGACCTGGGTCGTGCCCAGTTAACTATTAGAGATATATAAAATTATTAATATAAGCTCATTTAACAGTTTAAGTTTTTGGGTTAATAGATTCTTTTATCAGAGCACGTGTCATGGATTTGATCTTCACCGCCCCCTATTTAGTTAATAATTAATTAACTTTTGTAGAGTTTTTTAGCACACGTAAGTGAACTTGTACATTATCCTCCCTACAAGTTTAGTGGACTCTCGTGTAAGGAAACATATTAGAAATGAAAAAATATACTCTTATGTTGTAGGAGAGAATTTTTCTCTCCTACACATACATCGAGGAGACGGGGTGGGGCCTGTAGCTCAGAGGATTAGAGCACGTGGCTACGAACCACGGTTTCCGTATTACTTTTTTATTCTTTTTCTATAGTGGGTGTGTCCCACACATGATTATCTCTATTGCATGATAGGGTTCTCTTCTATTGCATGAGATTAATAAAGCCCATTGATTATAAAAAAAATAAAGCCCATTAAAAATATATAAAATCATTAATATAATATTACCTAACGAGTTAAACTTTTGAGTTGAATTATTATTTTACATTATCTCTTCTACGTAAATCAAGATTAATGAGAGAATTCACAAAATTTTAAAACGGATGGTGGATAGGTTTCTATCTTATTAGACTTGATGATCGGAACCAACTTGAGTTTTTCTAGTTGGTTTGGGCCGGATTGACTTAATTTATCAAGTTAATTCAAGCCTGCAATGACACTCCCATAAACTAAGATTAAGTGCATCTTTAGGTCATTTAATGTTGATAGAAATAATTGTTATTATATTTTGAATTTATTTACAAAGCATAAATAATTGGTTTTTGAATGTAACTGTCTTACTTGTTGAATTTTATTTTTCTGATCGGTTGTTGAAGTTAATTTTATAATACTGTTTTGTAATGGTATATATGAAATTATTCTCTATTCTAGAAAAAGTGCATTGTTCAATGCTCATAGATGTTTTGGCATCCAAACGTGCACGAAGGCCAAATAATATAAATTTTTTAAGGGAGAAACAGGATTCCTCCCCTGCCGCCTCTGATACAAAATGGCATTAGCTAGCTATGATGCAACTAGCATTGTTGTTAAATTTAATGTCAAAATCCTCATCTATTTTAACAATATTACTTCTGCAAATCTTTCACAATCAATATCTTGTATAATTAAACTATGAAAAGTATATCATACATAGTATTGTTAAAGTTACCGCCATGTAGTTGTCAATGACTATGTGGGACACATTGTGAGTCCAAGAGTTATAAGTGCATTTGGCATAAACAATATCTTGATACATTTTAATTGAATTTTAAAAAATAACTATAAATTATTGAAGTCAGTTGTCAAAAACTATGTGAGACGCATTATGAGTCTTTCACAGTTAGACGCGTGCTACAGGTATTGCCAATGGCATTCCGTAAACCATTCTATATTCACTTTTTGTAGAATTTTTTTTTATTCTTAGATGAAACTGACTCGGTTTTAGTAACAAAAATAATAAGTAAAAATATATACCTGCTAGTAGAGTGTAAATAAGTTAGGATAGACTAGGCTTTGACTTAAATAGATCGGGCTTATGTAAAAAAAAAATGGGTATGACTTGGCCTATTAGCCTGTGTAGGCTCCAAATTATAAGTTTGGTCTGACCTGTATTTAAAAAATAAAAGTCATGTCTTAGCCTAGGTCTGTTAGCCTATTTAAGCTTATTAAACATTCAACAATTAAAAGAATAATTAAAATAATTTATTTTATTATTTAAAATTATTAAAATAATAATTGTATTTATTATATTTTTAATAAATAATATGGTATAAGCCAGCCTGTAGGCTTATAGGTTTAATATGTACAAAAAAAACCTATGACTTATTTTCTAAATAGTTTTTTTTAAAAATCTAAGTCTGTTCTATTGTACTATTTATAATAGGCCAAGCCTGACCTAATATAGGCTAGGTCGTAGGTCTCTGTAGGTCAACCTAGCTCATTTACACCCTAGTCTATCTTTGGGTACGTTACTATCTCCAATTTTCATTATGCTAGAAGATTTACTCGTAATATGGACTGAAACTTATTTTAAAAAACTGGTTATAATTTTTTTTCCGTATTAAAATGTAAATTAGTTTTAAATTCAACAGGAAATAAATTTAATAAATTTATTAAAAAGTACAAGTGAGTATAGTTTTTTTTTCTTTAATTCTATACAGGACCTATCACTTATGGGCTTTGAGTGTAGTCTATGACTCTATGTAGGGGAAGAGCAAAGGGGGAAACGGAAAGGAACTTTCCGTTCTCATCGTTTTATGAGTGCTGTGAAGATATTTCCCCTTCTTTTTTTTGGTTTGGCAGTTTGAATGAGTAAAGGGATGATTGAAGGGCCTGTCATATGTGTGCAAATTACTCGAGAGCACACCTTTCTTTTGCCGTATAACAAAAGCTTCTCGTGAATTAAAAGATTATTTGGCCATTGGCATAAAGCAATGAAAAAAAAAAAAAAATCAAACAAATAATGATTGCCGTGCAATTCTTTCGTCCAAGAATACATCTGTCCAGAAACTTTTCTTATGGTATCATTTCATTCCACAATCTCTTTCTCAATCTTCCATTTTGTATTGAAAAAGCGAGAATTGTAGTCTACGGTTGGCCTACAATTCATGGGGAAGTCACCATGCTACAAGTTTTGTTTTCTTTTTCTTTTTTTTGTTTTTGTTTTTGTTGAGGAATATTGAGCAAGAGGAAGAGGCAAAAGCACAAAAGTTTGAACATAAAGAATGATCTTTACAGATGAATAATTAATGATTCTACCGAATGAAAAATACTAACAAGTGAACAAATTTAAGCAGTAAAATCACTTAGAAAACGAACATGCACGAATCATAGTTCAGTTTGGCGACGTCCAGAGGTAAAAGGAGCACTAAACCTAGCTGAGAAACTTGGAGGCATGTCATCATCTTCGCTCTGTACCCCACTGTTGAAGTTTAGAGCATAGCTGTGTTCATCATATTGAAACTTGTTCCTCTGCTGCTTCTTGCCATATCCGCTTATCCTTCTAATGAATGTTTTCCACTTGGGACCTGCAATCACTTCTGAAACCTCCTTCATCTTCCTCAACTTGCAACTCACCCAGGATTCTCCCTTTTCCTCCAGTAGGCCTTTACCTTCTTCATGGCCTTGCCACCACCTCAAACTAAAAACCCAAAAGCATCCATACCCGCATCCGCTAGGCTCTTGGTGTTCATTGAAATCTACTTCCACATGTTCCACTGCCTCCATCAATGGCCTTCCCTCAAAAGCAACAATATATTTTCAAAGAGAATGAGAAATGGAATGTATGTATATGGTTGGACTTAGGGGATTTGGTTGGGCAGAAAGCATTTATAGGTAATGATTATTAAGGAAGAGAGATATGCAAAGGAGGAAATGTCAAAGAAAATGAAGCTACAACTGTCCTAAAACGTCTACAACCAATAATAATAAAAAATTAATAATAGAAAAGTAGGATTGTGTGATCTTTGTATTTGGAAGCGTCCAATGAAGTATCCTATGGAGTCTTGAAATGCTACCTGACAGTATTACGCGATGTATTGGCATTTCCGTCACTCAAGACATAATAATACGATTTACTATTAGAAAAATGAAAATCATATGATACATAAATTCAATTTCATGTTGACCCACACCACACGGCGAGGATAATCATAAAGCCGACTCCTATTGTATGCTGTGTCATGCTTAGCTGTTGGTGGCTCCCACGTATATTATATAGTAACACATAAATTTAATTGCCGGGGCGGCCACAAGACAAACCCAGTAGTAGTCATGTGATGAAGAAAAGAAACAGTCTTGGGTCAGTACATTAACACACCAAAGCATGGTAATAACAGTAACAGTAATATACATGGCTAAAAATGCTAAACTCCTATACAATATCCATTTTTTCAAGCACTATAAAATTTTCAAAATATGAAAATCTTTACTTTACCTTTCCTACTAGAAAAGGACACATTACTTAGTGTTCCCTGAGATTTGGGTGTAAAACGAGTATATGCAGTAGTGCTAAAAGGTCAGACACTTAATAACAACCTCAGGTTACCATCTAATACTTACAAACCTCCAATATAGTGTATATTGCACACTGCATTGATCCCCCACATGGATGAAAAACACAAACCAGAGACAAATCTGGGATTAAGCATCCTGCAGTTGTAGGAAATCATTTCTGAACTTGGCTCTCTGATGATGTAGGTTGCTGCTGTTGATTTTGTCCTTTGGGAGAGATCTTGGCCGACATGGAACGTAATTCATTGGCAATCTCAGTGAAGGTTGGTCTTTCTGATGGCTCTGATGACCAGCACCTCTCCATCAGCAATCTCCACTCTGGATCACAAGTTTCTGGAACTGGAGGCCGCAAAGTGTTGTTCACAATACCACCTGAATTATGTTTGGAAAAACCCACAGCTCAACAACCAAAAGCTAGCGAATCAAAATCTAAATATTTGGATTTTTAACCTTTGGATTACCTATGATGGCACCATAATGCAAATCAGTATATGGCTCTTCCCCAGTGAGGAGTTCCCACATGACAATACCAAATGAAAACACATCAACCTAAATATTAAAACGAATCAGTTTAGAGAATGACAATATATGAAGGAAGCCACAAAAGACATCAATGTTTCAAATAGGTTAAAGCATAAACCTTCTCTGAAACAAGGCTACTGCTCCCGTTCAGCAATTCTGGGGCCATCCAAGGTAGAGTTCCTCTCACACCACCAGATATTAGAGTCTGGCATTTCACTTTGGACAGACCCAAGTCACCAACCTGGTATCAGAATCAGAAGTGTGAATAACCGAGATATTAATTAAACAAATTATCTTCAATTGCTATGCAAAAAGTAGAGCTGTGTCGACCATGAAAGCAAGTACCATAAACCTAAAAATCAGTCAAGAAAATTCTGGAAAAAAGGATGGTGCTTAATGTTGCAGAGCTGGATCTAATTCTAAATCATTAGGTGATCATGGTGTTAATTGCTCGGCACATGACCAAGAAAAATAAGAATGAGGTGTTGGCAATTTTGACCAGCAAGACTAGCAGAACTACAATACAAGTATGACCGGATAACAGTAATTTGACACTCCAAAGATTCAAATGGTCAAAGCTTCAAGTAGAACAATGAAGCCACCTAATGAGCATAAGTAGCCACCATAGTCGAGAGTAATATATACATTTATATCACAAATTGCACAAGGAGGTAAGAACAGAGGAGAGAGAAAGAACACGGAAATCATAGAAAAACCTAATCTGATTTGGCTTTATTGGAGATCATGATTGATATCTTTGATTGGAACTCTAGGAATAAAAAAGTGGTTATTCAATTCTAATACTAGAACTTGATTTCATCACACCATCAGAAGCACCAATACTAGAAAGAAATATTCCTAGGAATTGCATAATGATACAGACCAGCCAACAATCACACTCAATAGAACGGGATAACTGATTGAAATGGAAATATATTGTATATATCTTGGCCATAATCAGTGTCACAGTAACTCAACTTTAGTATTTAATAACAGAAACAAGTATAAAAGGAAACTACAGAGTTACACAACTCAACTCTTCATTACAATCCAACAGAATAGAAATACTAGAATTGAAATTACACAACAGAAAAGAAATGATAGTGTGAAGCAATTGGAGAGGCTCCACTCTCTCCCAAGATCCAAAGTTCTCAATTCAGATTCCAGATGCCTTTTCTCTCACATCAGCAACGCTATTTAATCCTCCCTTGCTCACGCCTTGCTGCGTTTCTTCATTCAGTTGCAACGGATTTGCTGAGTCATCAAATGAGTCATCCACTGGGACAGAATCCACTGGATCAGAGTTGTTTGGGCCTGGGTCAGCCACATTTGATATCCATATCTTCCTATGCTTGTCTCTTTTATAAACCTGATTGGGCTTGGAGCGGGTTGCATCAATACTCCCCCCCAATTCAAGTACCTTGTCCTCAAGGTTGAAGTGAGGAAATTGTTTATTGATGACATCAAAGGATTCCCATGTATTCTTGAACTCCGGTAACTGACGCCACTTGAGAAGTACCTGCAGTTCACCCTGGTTGGACAGCCTCCAATTTACCAATTTTTCTGGTTCCACCAACAGCTCCCAATCCTCCGAGAGCATTGAAGGTAAGGGTTGTGCATTTGCTAACGGAGTAATAGCCGTCTTGAGTAAAGAAACATGGAAAACAGGATGGACTTGACAGTTCCTAGGCAATTGGAGTTTGTAAGCAACTTCTCCAACTTTTTCCAATATAGCATATGGGCCATAGTACCTGGGACTTATTTCTCATTAACACGTCTTGCTATGGTCTTAAGCCTATAAGGCTGTAACCGTAGGTAAACGAAGTCCCCCGGAGCAAATTGAACATCTCTTCTATGCTGGTTAGTGTAACAACCTGAGCGCTGACGAGGGCGGGGAGTGATTGCCGGTGCAAAGAGGCACGGACAAGGAGCGGCTCCTGCAGGCTTCCAGCGTGGGGTTACATGCATGAATAAATCGAATCGACACCCGGAAGAAAGGGATTCCAAAGGCTGTGCAAGTATAAGATTGCACAGTTTGGGATAGCTTATAAGAATTAATTGGTACTACCTATGCCAACAAGATGCATCTGCTTTTCGGTAGACCGGATCGGAAGAACTCCACAGTTAAGCGTGCTTGACTTGGAGCAATTCTGGGATGGGTGACCTCCTGGGAAGTTTTCCCGGAAAGTGTGCGAGTGAGGAAAAAGCACACTGAAAAGTCTCGTGTTAGTAGCCGCGGAAGCGTGGTGGGCCCATAACCCACAGGTCCCAGGATCGAAACCAGGCTCTGATACCATAAAATGTAACACCCCGTTCTAGAACCGGTTTGTTAACATCGCATTATGATATTAAGCGCAGTTACAATCACATTGGCTCAATTAAAAATCCGGATAAATTTTTCTTTTTAAAACGACGCCGAAATTAAAATATCCAATTGCATGATCATAACCATATTACTTTGCGGAATCAGATAAATCAAGCTTAACATCATGTTCTTATTCCACTTTTAAACCATTAATTTACTTCTTATTTATTTCACAACTTCTACTATATTGTAGATCTCTTCGTTAGCTACGCGTGGTTTCAAACCGCTCCTCGTTTGGAACACTGTAGCCCAAGTTATGACAATCGGAAGCAACACAATAGGGTGATGATCACAGGCCCCGCGCGCTTCAGCGCGCTACCGGGCGCTCAAGCGCGCGTTATCGGGCACTAAAGCCTCCATCTGGGCGCTTAAGCGCACGGAGGCAGAAAGCATCAGGTCTTTCAGTATAAATGGGCGCTTATGCGCGCACCAGGGCGCTCAAGCGCGCTATCCTGGGCGCTTAAGCCCCCATTTGGGACGTTTTAGCGCGCAGAGGCAGAAGCATCTCCTCCATCAGCGGCCAGGGCGTTGATTCTTGCAAGCGGACGGGCGTTACAAGTGGTATCAGTGCAGGGCCTCTCATCCAGTACGGTGTGGTTCGAGGACGAACCAGGCGGAAGCTGGTGGGCATGTAACATCCCGAACGCTGACAAAGGCGGGGAGTAATCGCCTGTGCAAAGAGGCACGGACAAGGAGCGGCTCCTGACAGGCTTCCAGCGTGGGGTTACATGCATGAATGAATCGAATCGACACCCGAAAGAAAGGGATTCAAAGGCTGTGCAGGTATAAGATTGCACAGTTTGGGATAGCTTATAAGAATTAATTGATACTACCTATGCCAACAAGATGCATCTGCTTTTCGGTACCCCGGATCGGAAGAACTCCACAGTTAAGCGTGCTTGACTTGGAGCAATTCTGGGATGGGTTACCTCATGGGAAGTTTTCCCGGGAAGTGTGCGAGTGAGGAAAAAGCACACTGAAAAGTCTCGTGTTAGTAGCAGCGGAAGCGTGGTGGGCCCATAACCCACAGGTCCCAGGATCGAAACCAGGCTCTGATACCATAAAATGTAACACCCCGTTCTAGAACCGGTTTGTTAACATCGCATTATGATATTAAGCGCAGTTACAATCACATTGGCTCAATTAAAAATCCGGATAAATTTTTCTTTTTAAAACGACGCCGAATTTAAAATATCCAATTGCGTGATCATAACCATATTACTTTGCGGAATCAGATAAATCAAGCTTAAAATCATGTTCTTATTCCATTTTAAACCATTAATTTACTTCTTATTTATTTCACAACTTCTACTATATTGTAGATCTCTTCGTTAGCTACCCATTGTTTCAAACCGCTCCTCATTTGGAGTACTGTAGCCCAAGTTATGACAATTGGAAGCAACACAAGAGGGTGTTGATCACAAGCCCCGCGCGCTTCAGCGCTCTACCGGGCGCTCAAGCGCGCGTTATCGGGCGCTAAAGCCTCCATCTGGGCACTTAAGCGCACGGAGGCAGAAAGCATCAGGTCTTTCAGTATAAATGGGCGCTTATGCGCGCACCAGGGCGCTCAAGCGCGCTATCCTGGGCGCTTCAGCCCCCATTTGGGACGTTTTAGCGCGCAGAGGCAGAAGCATCTCTTCCTTCAGCGGCCAGGGCGTTGATTCTTGCAAGCGGACGGGCGTTACAAGTGGTATCAGTGCAGGGCCTCTCATCCAGTACGGTGTGGTTCGAGGACGAACCAGGCGGAAGCTGGTGGGCATGTAACATCCCGAGCGCTGACGAGGGCGGGGAGTGATCGCCGGTGCAAAGAGGCACGGACAAGGAGCGGCTCCTGACAGGCTTCCAGCGTGGGGTTACATGCATGAATGAATCGAATCGACACCCGAAAGAAAGGGATTCCAAAGGCTGTGCAGGTATAAGATTGCACAGTTTGTGATAGCTTATAAGAATTAATTGGTACTACCTATGCCAACAAGATGCATCTGTTTTTCGGTACCCCGGATCGGAAGAACTCCACAGTTAAGCGTGCTTGACTTGGAGCAATTCTGGGATGGGTGACCTCCTGGGAAGTTTTCCCGGGAAGTGTGCGAGTGAGGAAAAAGCACACTGAAAAGTCTCGTGTTAGTAGCAGCGGAAGCGTGGTGGGCCCATAACCCACAGGTCCCAGGATCGACACCAGGCTCTGATACCATAAAATGTAACACCCCGTTCTAGAACCGGTTTGTTAACATCGCATTATGATATTAAGCGTAGTTACAATCACATTGGCTCAATTAAAAATCCGGATAAATTTTTCTTTTTAAAACGACGCCGAATTTAAAATATCCAATTGCGTGATCATAACCATATTACTTTGCGGAATCAGATAAATCAAGCTTAAAATCATGTTCTTATTCCATTTTTAAACCATTAATTTACTTCTTATTTATTTCACAACTTCTACAATATTGTAGATCTCTTCGTTAGCTACGCGTGGTTTCAAACCGCTCCTCCTTTGGAGCACTGTAGCCCAAGTTATGACAATTGGAAGCAACACAAGAGGGTGTTGATCACAGGCCCCGCGCGCTTCAGCGCGCTACCGGGCGCTCAAGCGCGCGTTATCGGGCGCTAAAGCCTCCATCTGGGCGCTTAAGCGCACGGAGGCAGAAAGCGTCAGGTCTTTCACTATAAATGGGCGCTTAAGCGCGCACCAGGGCGCTCAAGCGCGCTATCCTGGGCGCTTAAGCGCGCACCAGGGCGCTCAAGCGCGCTATCCTGGGCGCTTAAGCCCCCATTTGGGACGTTTTAGCGCGCAGAGGCAGAAGCATCTCCTCCTTCAGCGGCCAGGGCGTTGTTTCTTGCAAGCGGTCGGGCGGTACAAGTGGTATCAGTGCAGG